CGACTTGCATCGTTCTCGAGCAGAGTTGCAACGGGATGAGCGGCGCGCACAGCAACGTGGAACCTGGACAAGGTTAGCGCAGAGATTCTTCCCGCCGCCGGCACCCACTAAGGAACATACACGAGCGACGCTAAGGTGAGCTACGAGGCGGCCCACCTCGAAGGGGGAGTGGAGGATGTTTATTGTGCGAGGTACCTCGTTTATCACGTTGGAGTGGGTGGCTGATGAAGTATCTTTGAAACATGGCCATAGAGTGAGAGCGTGTATGATGAGGTCAGGTAGAGTGTGAAAGAGAGAGAGAGAGAAGGAGTCTCGGGGTCCAGCTGTGAAGGGCATCCGCAGACTGCAATTGCAACAGCACCTGCAGGCCCCGGCCGTGGGCAACTGCAACAATCCACTTTTGCATCCTGCTCTGCTCCTGCCTCCTTCTCGTGCCTGCGTGCCTGCCTCCTGCCTTCCGTTGAAGCTCTACCTCACGCAGTACGTACCCAGGTCTGCTGCGCTGCGCTGAGGCATCCGCAATCCTCGTCCTCGTCCTCATCTTAGGTTCATCTGCAACCTCGACCGCGACATCAACCGAGACTTTGCCTGCTCGCTTTTCCTCCTTCTGCTATTCTGATCCTTGGGGCTGGATCAATATCACTCCATCTTCTTTCAAACTAGAGCCAATTCATCATCATCGAACACACATAACTTTTCCAACCGTCCACCATACACAAGCCCGGTCATCCTGACGTCCACGTCCAACATCCAACACGCAATACGCTTACGGATACCCGCCTTAGATACCTTACTCAGGCAACCCAAGAGACAATCTACAGCGGTGATCCGATCCAGCATCGCTGCTGCCTCTCGTCCATCCGCCTCCGCCTCCGCCTCCCTCCTGCATCGCGACCAAGACCAAGCACGCATACGGATACAGAGCACTTCAAGGGCAAGGCACCGACCTGCTGCTCCGTGCCTCCCAGCCTCACAAAGCTCACACCCTTCCCGGATCCATCCAACCCACTCACCCACCCGAAAGGACCCTTCATCGCTCACCACCGAGTCCCACTGCACTGCACAGCACTGCGCACAGAGAAGAGGCACAGGTTTACACCCAGCCTACGGGCACGGATACGTACCTCGCCGCCAGCTTCTGGACCCCCGGACCTTTCGAGGTTGACCCTGTGCTACTACCACCGCGGCGCCGCTACTACCAAGTAAAGTACCAACCTGCACCTTGCCTGGACCTAGTCCCGTCAGTCTTCTCGCCTCACCTCACCTCATCTCACCTCCAACCGCCAAATCAACCGACTGCTGTTGCTTGCCTCCTTCTTTCTCTCCCACATCACCTCTCGACTTCCACGTCCACATCACTTCGACCATCACCTGCATCGCCGTCCTCTCGTCTCCGATCCAGCGCGTCCCCATAGGCGTCCCTGCAATTTCCGAGTCTCAATGTCCCAGTCCTGACGCTTATTATTCGCTTTGCGCAGCTGGGACGCCCCGCCTTAATCCGCCTCGCCGTTAACTCTCCAGCGCCTCTCGACCTTAAACCGCCGACACTTCCGTTCCGGTACTCTGTCGAAATCCAGTCGCTCGTTACACGCAATGTACCTCAAAATACGAATACCACTCGACTTCTCCGCCGGTTCCCAGACTGGCTACACTGCGACGCTGCAACGTCGCGAAGAAATCGACGGCAGGAAAATTACCACAATTGTAAGTGAAAAGACATGTAAAGGATTCTTTCCCCGTCCCCCATTACCCTAGACTAAGCCGCTGACGCCATACTGCCAAAGGTCATCCTTGGTGTACTGGTCCTCCTTATCTTTATCGCCTTTGTCGTCTTTTCTCTCCGAGCATCTCGGCGCTCTACCCGCGGCAACAACAAGAAGCCTAGCGGCGGCGGCTTTTTCAAGTCAATATTGAAAAATGGTGGCAGAAACAGATACCGCCAAGCTCAGGATGAAGACTCCACCTCTACCGAACGACTGACCGACCGCCGTCGATCCCGCCCCTCTTCTGTCGCATTCGATGCCTCGGCCGATCAGTCGCAGGCCGATGCCCGCTCCCCCAACAGCGCTGTCAACCGCAATACATCGATTCGTTCGATTATGACGCTGCCTGCTTACCGACCTGATCCGAATGAAACTGAGCAAGTTCTGGGTCGCGAAGGTGAACGCGGTGGTGTCGATGTCGTTATCGAATATCCTACGGAAGAAACAGAGGAGGATCTGCGTGATCAGGAGATGGAGGCTCTCTACCAGATTCGCCTGGCCCGCCGTCAGGAGCTTGCTGAGCGGGAGGAGCGGAGAGTGGAGCGCCGGGAAGCTCGGGAACGTGGTGACTTTGTAGCTCTGGACAACATCCGATCCAGAGCTCGGGCTGCCAGCAATAATAGCGTCGTCGCTGTCCTCCGCGAAGAACATGAACGCCTCAAGAATGAACGTCAGAGAGCTGTTTCTAGCGTATCTTACGCCGACCTCGGTGTTGCTCGTCACGACGGCACACGACTTCGCGCCAACAGCAATGAGAGTGAGAGGATGGGGCTGCTGTCAGACTCCGCTAGTATTGCCGCCACCTCAATTCGATCGGGGGCCGGATCAGCTATGAACCACAGGAGGGGTAGCTCTGTAATGAGCATCGAAAGCGACTTACCTTCGCCAGGATTTACTTCGAGGTCACGGGCAAATTCTCGACCAGATACCCCCCGCCTAGATACCCGGGCAGGGTCCAGTCCGGATGTTGAAGCTGACGTAGGAGACGCCGGCATGCCCATCTACTCTCCACCTGGATACGACGAAGTTTCGTTAGATGACGAGCGGTCCAGGAGCAATACTCCCCAACCTGGTACTGAGCCTCCGCCGACGTATCCCGGCCCTGCCCAACAACAGGCAGAGAGCATTGCCTCAAGCATGGCCGACTTGGCTGCCGATGAGCAGACTACGAACAACTCCGCAGACTCACGCCGGAGCTCAAGGGTACCACGACTACCTAGTCTACGATTGCAGCAAGTGCCGCAAATTGTGATAGAACCTTCCAGTGCCAGACCTCACGATGATAGGTGATGTCCTGAGCTGGGATCGCGCGAAATATATTCAATCTGATGATTACGGCTGAAAGCAATGAGCCTGTTGCAAACGAATGAACGCCTGGAGGCTATTTTGTTGGTACATATGAAGTCTTGAAGGGTGAAAACATATACAGGTTGGACGAGGCGCTTGCCTTACTGAAGCAAGGTCTTGAATCTCGTTTGTATAATAGTCTTCCGGCATACCGGATATCGGCGTTTGGCGAACCTCGTTCCGGATTGAACGAGTGCAAAGGATACCAAAGCGATTTAGAGGAGCTGCTGCGCCATGTATAGTTGTAGCCTACGCGCTCGACGTAGCAATGGCTTGTCATTTTTTCGTCTACAAGAGCACAAAATTTCAATTATGATGGTCTTGCGGTAATTGGTTGTGCCTTCTGTCACGGCTGGAGTGGTAAGATGGTGTGATTAGATGCTTAAGATATTCGGTGCAGATGGGCTCACCATTGCAGACGAATATGCTGAACTTCTGATCCCAAGTTCCCGTTGATAATCAAGTAGAGCAGCTTTTGTCGACCAAGGTAAACTCCGTGCCTGTCTGCTCTGCGTCTCCTGAATCTGGATCATCGGGTTGGAACTCAAGACTGGGAAAGGTACCAGGTCAGATTAACGAGGCACTGCACTGCCGTTGCTTCGGTTGAAGCTGGGTTTGCGAGGGGTGTATCTAGAGCCAGCTTTGGGTCTAATCCAGTATAGAGCGTTTGTGGTGGATGTTTGTTGCCGATGGGGTACGTAACAGCTGATCTGGCTGTATTAGGAAAGACTCGCATCTACCAAGCGATGCTGGGTTGTTGCCTTCAATAGTATGAACACAAGCATACATGTGACAGATCCGCTCTCTCTCGAGTATGTCGTTAATCTTTGGATGCATTGATGGGCTTGCAGTGGTGTATTGAGGACTAAGACGTTTCGACTGAATTAGCCCTTGTTCGACTGATAGCCCCTATTGGTAGCAACTCCAAGCTTTCAGGAGTTGGCGATTATGGGCGAGACCTGGCTGCCGAAGTATAGCCCAGGATTCCGTCTTTGCGGCTTATTAAGGAAACCTGAGAAGATGGCCGATAGTCCTTGTAGGCGGGAAGATTCATATGGCGTCTTTTCTTGCGAGGCTGCCGGGAGAAGAAGGGCTGGGCATGCGGGCTTGGATATGGATGACATTTAAGGGGAGAAAAGTAAAAGAGAGGAAAAGAGCCGTGTGAAACGAGTTTGGAGAGTAATATCTCATCTGGAAGACAGCGGAAAGGGTGTTGCTGAAGCGTGAGCTTTTGTAGCGAGCGAGGCAGTCGATTGCAATCAGGATAGCTCTTTCTCCGGATACAAATTGAATACCTAGAACAGTTCTCGAGTAGATTTACAAAAAAACAAGAGAAGTCCCAAAAGAGGGTTAGCGAGCTTTACAATCTCTAAGGCTCTATGGGGAATTGACGAACAAGCTAAAAAAACGTGCTTGGGATCATTCCGCCAATGCCACATGGAGCCTCCATGCCTTTCTTATCCGAAAGCTTACTTTAGTTTGGCAAAGATGATGAGTCCTCAACAGCATGATTGTTACTTTAGGTATGGAAACGGCTCTATGAGAAGAGACAAGTTAGACCTAGCGTTTCTTATGGGAAGCGAGAATTCGTCTCGGCGTCGTCTGTTTGCGTTTTGGACCATCGATTACGATTTTCAGCAACGCCAAGCGAGAGGCAGAAGCGACTGTCCAAGATTTCTTGGATGAGGCAGTGGAGGTCAGGAGATCTGCCATTGTCCAAAACGTAGACTCTTGCTTCAGAACATACACACAGGTCGGCAACAGAACGGGTCTTTGGACTGCCTGAACAGCATAACTTCATGATCACCTCGTAAAGGGGGTTCAAAAAGTATCATACCTACCTTCTAGATTCTCCTAGGAGCGTCGTGATGAGCTTCAAGCAGAAACCTACTACTCCGGAAAGGCTATACGCATGTACGCCTCAAGCTTCTCCAATGCCTCCACAAGCACCTCGGTATGACACACATACCCAATCCTCACATACCCCTGGAAATCCCTCCCGTGACCAAAACACTTTGACCCCGGCACGAAAAACACATTCGTCTTCTCCAACACATCCAAACAGAACCGCACATCGTCCACCGGTTCGCCGTTCCTGTGCGTGAAGCGTATAAATGCAGTCGTCCCAGCCATAGGCCTTACCCAAGAACATACACCCTTGTGCCTCTCGATAAAAGCTTCCAGTAAAGCCTTGTTAGTGACGGCGAGCCCGACGTTCCGCCGTAGTAGCGGCGCATAGACGGGTGGTGATAGAGCGTAGGAGGCGATTTGGTCGTCGATTTGGGAGACACTGATGGTGGTGTAGTCGCGTGCCGAGGCGACGGCTTGGATTATGGATTTATCGGCGGAGGCGATCCAGCCGATGCGGATGCCGGCTAGGGCGTAGGATTTGGACATGGAGCCTGTGACGACGACTTTGGGGTAGCCAAAGGTTGTGAGGGGCGGGGGCACATCCGCGTCCCCGCCGGCGGAGGAGAAGAGGTTGTGGAAGAGGGGCCGGTAGACCTCGTCTGAGAAGAGAATGATGTCTCTGGCTTTGGCGAAGGTGACGAGGGAGGCGAGGACTGGGGTTGGGATGGGGATGCCGGTTGGGTTGTTTGGGTTGTTGATGATGATCATCTGGTATTACGGGTTAGTGTCAAGGATAGGATCGGTCTTGAGTGAGAATATGGAATCACCTTTGTGTTGGGCTTGACGAGGACCTCGAGTTCGCTCACGTCCGGCACGAAGCCATTCTCCTCCTTGAGCCTCCACAAGGAGACATCAGCGCCGAGGCTCTCGGGGACGCTGTAGAGCTGCTGGTACGTGGGATACACGCATATGACGTGGTCGCCGGAGTTCACCAGGGTGTACAGCAGCAGGAAGTTGGCGCCGATGGCGCCCTGGGTGATGAGCACGTCGTCTTCACAGAGCACGCCGGGATTTGCGTCATCCGAGTCGAACCCAGCCCCGGCTCCGGCGCCGCTACAGAGCGCCGCGACTCTCTGACGGAGCCGGGCGGAGCCACGGATGGGGCCATATACTAGCTTTGTGGAGAGGTCGACAGGGCCGGGCGCGTGCTTGTCCTCAGAGAGGGTCTCTAGATCATTTACGGAGACGGAGGCGGCGCAGGTCTCGGCGATGTTCAGGCAGCCTGGGGTTATCTCGTACTCGTCCATCCATTGCTCTACGTCGAACGCCGATATGCGGACCATTGTTAGCGAGGGGAAGGGGAGAGAGGGGTTGAGCTGTGCGGGGTGCGGGATGCGTTGGATGAGTGGCTCAGGATGATGGCATTTGAGCCGAGAAGAGGAACTCTAGTGGGCAGCAATTAGTTTGGTGAGTGAGAGGGTATGAGAAACGTGGAGAAGTAAGGCTTTGGCGATTTGCGCCGGGTTGAATTGATACAATGCCAAGGCTGGCGGGATTATGGGAAACTGAGATCTAAAACAAGAGTCATGGTCACTTTTGCCTATACACACATACACACACGCACTGGCACAGTTGCTTCGACCTCGTCTATAAGGCGACTAATGGCAATCCCGCGTATCAGCACGGACGGGATGTGTCTTCGGACTGCTCAGAGAACATTGGACACTCTGAGCACACGGCGGCGTCCCGGGCCTAACGCATGCCAAAGGCCCGTCAACAGGGTGCGCACTGGAGATTGTCTGCCACTAGGAAGACTCTCCGCGGGCACAGATGCGCGGGATTGTGGTTGTTGGAGAAAAGTATGATGTCGCGGATGTTGTGTACCTGAGTGAGGTTCCATTCAATGCGGGGAGAGCAACGAGATCGATTCGGCTCGAGCTGAGACGAGCTGTGGCTGGAGCTTGTAGCTTTGGTGATAAACGTAAGGGATCATTACTAAGACGTTGAAACGAGGATAGACTGGATGTCAGCCCTCGGTCTGTCCAAGATATGCTGTAAGTATTATGTCAGAACCGGTGAGGCTTCTTTATTTTAAGCTAGTCAGTACAAGTATGAGAAGCTTTCGAGCTATCTTTGCTCAAGTGGTATAGCTGAAGGTGATGATCTGTCACTGTAAAGGAATGACCTGCAGCTATGCTTCATCAGGCTCAACATTGCCTGTGAGGCCACTGGCTAGAGTCCCTGCCGAAGCCCATCGTCTGTTCTCTGCTGGACTGTACCATTGATCGTGTTTTGTTCGGAATGAAGTACTTCTATAGTCCCCTCAGGTTCGGCTGATCGAACTAGGCATGTGAGGCCGGAGCCGGACTGCGTACACGACAACTGGCAGATCCACCTGAGCGTCAGATGAGTGGCAGATGGGCATGCCTGATGCTTGACTTTACGCTTAGATGTACAATCGCATTGTATCAATGTGTTTCAATGGCAACGTCGATGATGGTAAACGCAGGGTCGCAGAGTGTAATGCTCATGGATCTCGCAGTTGGCAGGCGTCTTCCCTGTAAGTTTGTCTGCATTTGGCAATGGAGGGCATGAGCTAAGCTGCTGAGGTAACTATTCAGCTACACTACTTCGTACATAGGCACCAAGAACTCGAGAGAGGGGGGACAAAGAGTTGAGCTATTCTTAGCGTCTTGTCTCGTCCCGTCCCATAGAACTGGTTGGCCGAGCAAAACGGCGGGGGTTTGGGGGAATAAGAGAAGAAGTCTGACAGATTGAGCTACAGGATGCTAAAAGAAAGGTTCCTTACCGGAGGTATCTACGAATACGTACCGCCCCCCAGGCACATGGCTATTGAACCTGAAGACTCAGGCTCTAGCGGTACGAACCCCGTAGGTTCAGCCACCCCACGGGACGCTGGTGCGTGTTTCCGACTGGCACAGTGGGGTCCCCAGCCTGCCGCGGTACGTATCCTGAGGATTTATCCACTGTGACGCCACCGCCACCTCACGATTGGACCGTTCCGTCCAGCTGGAGACACCTCGGGAGTGGATACGTACCGTAGCAAGGTACCAGCAAGCCGCGTCGCTGGTTGCTGGGTGCTGGGTGCTGGGCGCTGCTGCTGCGGGTTATTATCGGCCGGCTGTACCTCTGTTATCAGCTCGGTGCCTTGGTCCAGCGCAGGTCATCCACGTCTGCTTCACACGCATCCTCCCGCAGGCCAAGAGCTTCCATTCCTCCCCCATCCTTCCGCCGCTCTGTTCGCAGCCGTGTCCATCTCCGTTGGGTCCAGTTCAGTCCAGTCTATGATCTGACCTTCTTTCTCCCCTCTCTGATCTGCTCTCAACCCTCACCTCACCTTCCTTCGACATCGACATCTCTCCCGTCACCACTCTCTATCTGCTGGCATCCGACTCGGTGTAGTCCGCCACTTCAACACGCCCACCATGGCTCCTCCCGCCTTGAGGAGCCTCCTCATCGGGGCTCTGGCATGTCTTCCTGTCCTGACTTCGGCCCAGCGCAACTATTCCACCACGGCCGATATGCTGCGAGCCCAGCTCACCTTACTCGACGACCGGCCCTCTGATTGTCCTCCTTGGTGAGTGCTTTGCGTCGAGAGGTCCTAATTTCGCGATCCTGCTGTCATCGCTTGTGCCTTCAACTCTCCAATGCTAATGTGTATCCTTCGCGCAGCTTCAACTGTCTTCTCCCTGCCCACAAGTGCACCCAGTTTGCCGGCTGCAATGACTTTACCGGCAAATGTAGCTGCCCCGAGGGCTTCGGCGGTGATGACTGTCTCGATCCACGTACGTCCACACGTTCCCCCGCCCTGCGGTCGCACAAGTCTGGCGCATTACTGACAAGCACTCCTTAGTGTGCGGATCTCTCTCCCGTGGCGACAACACCGATAGACCCCGACGAACCGGTGATAATTGCGAATGCGACGACGGCTGGACCGGCATCAACTGCAACGTTTGCACAGAAAATAAGGCCTGCGACGCCCTCATGGAAACTAAGGAGGGCGGGGTTTGCTACCAGAATGGCGAGGTCATCAACCACAACTATCAAATCTGCGATGTCACCAACAAGAAGATTACCGACCTCCTCGGCGAGAAGCGCCCCCAAGTCACCTTTACCTGCAAGAAAGAAGAGGGCAACTGCGATTTCCAATGTAGGCCTGTCGTCCGTACACTTGGAGCGGTGACCAAGCTAACCTGCTCTAGTCTGGGTTGACGAACGTGAATCTTTCTACTGCCATTTGAACGAGTGCAGCTCAAACGCCGATATCAACGACAGCCAGAACAGCACTGACTACAAATGTAACAAGATCCAATGCGACTGCATCCCAGACCGTATGCTCTGTGGCGAGAACGGCTCCGTCGACATTGGCGAATTCCTGGTAGAGGAGATCAAGGGCCCCGCAGAGTTCCAGTGCTTGCAGAAGAATGGAGGCGTCAACAACTGCGCCTTCAAAGAGCCCGCCATGGACGACCTGATTCTGTCCTTGATCGGCGACAGTAGCATCCAACTGAGCTGTCGCTCTGGAGAGTGTCTGTACCACACTGAAGTCCCTGGTTACGAAAGGCCGGTCAAGAAGATCAACACCCCACTCATCGCCAGTATTATCGCCGCATGCTCCCTTTTCGTTGTCGCCGTCATCCTCCTCACATGGTACCTCTCTCGCCGACAGTTCAAGTATGGCGCCATCGCCTTGGACGACTCCGACGACGAAAGCTTGAAGCTCATGGCTGATCACAAACCTGCCTCTCTCTACTTCGAGAATGTCGCCTACGAGCTCAACGGAAAGAGAATCTTGAACAACATCCAGGGTATGGCTCATCCCGGAGAAGTAACCGCCATCATGGGTGCCTCAGGAGCTGGCAAGACCACTTTCCTTGATATTCTCGCGCGGAAGAACAAGAGAGGTCAAGTCTCTGGCGACTTCTTCGTCAATGGCGAAAAGGTTACCGACATCGAATACAAGAACGTCATCGGTTTTGTCGACCAAGAGGATACCATGCTGCCCACCCTGACCGTGCACGAGACCATCTTGACGAGTGCCCTTCTTCGCCTGCCCCGGAACATGGGTCGTGCTGCCAAGGAGCAACGCGTTTTCGAAGTTGAGAAGCAGCTGGGCATTTACCACATTCGGGACTCTCTTATCGGCTCTGAGGAAGGCAAGGGCCGAGGTATCTCTGGTGGAGAGAAGCGCAGAGTCGGCATTGCTTGTGAACTGGTCACGAGCCCTTCCATTCTGTTCTTGGACGAACCCACCAGCGGCCTGGATGCCTACAACGCGTTCAATGTCATCGAATGCCTCGTCACATTGGCTAAGAATTACAAGCGTACCGTCGTCTTCACTATTCACCAGCCGCGGTCCAACATTGTTGCACTTTTCGATAGACTAGTTTTGCTGGCTCGCGGTGGCGCGGTCTACTCTGGACCTTTCTCTCAGTGCCAGGCCTACTTCGACCACATTGGCTACTCGTGCCCTCCAGGCTTCAACATCGCCGATTACCTGGTTGATCTCACCATGCACGCCGGTGCCTCTACCTCCGAAGATGATGGAGCTCTGAACGCCGACAATGCTAGCCTGGGCCCCAGCAGCACGACTGCTGTTAAGTCTATCGCGAGCATTTCTGGCGGGTCAATCGGTGACGACAGCCTTGTTGAGTCTTCGTCTTCGCGCCCCAAGAACCACCGTCGTGATTCCGTCAAGATACGCCAAGAAAGAGAGCTCTTCACGCGCCGCAAGAACACCGTTGATACGGCTGCTTCATCGGATGCTGGAGGCGAGGATGTTGGATCATACAAGCTTCAGAACCAATCCGGCTTTGTCCCACCGGCCAATGTTGAAGACCCTCACGACCTCCCCCCTGCTGCATATGACGGAACTGACCTCGACGTTTTGATCCGATCTTTCGCCGAGTCTGACATCGCAGGCTCTACGCATGATGAAATCCAACAGTCCATCACTGCCGCCCAGGGCGCCAATGGACAGAATTCCAATGGTTACAACCCCGAGGGACCCAACATTCATGTCAGCGCTATTGGCAAGGGCTATGTCCGCGTTGGCTATACCCGCCAGTTCATCATTCTGTCTCAACGCACGTGGAAGAACCTGTACAGGAATCCTATCCTTATGCTGACCCACTACGCTATTGCCATCCTCCTCGCGGTTCTATCTGGGTACCTGTTCTATGGATTGACTGATGACATTCCGGGCTTCCAGAACCGTCTGGGTCTTTTCTTCTTCCTACTGGCCTTATTCGGATTCAGCACTCTGACCAGCTTGAACGTCTTTGCCACTGAGAGGCTCTTGTTCGTGCGAGAGCGCGCCAAC